TTCACTGATAGAATTAAATCTCAGTTCAGCAGGAGGAATGAAGCAGTCAGGTGACAGGCCAGGAACATTAAATGCCACTTCCTCAATTGCCCATGCTTCTTCCATCCTGGTTCTAGTGTGGCTCATTGCTGTGTCTCCGAATCGGAAAAGTGATACCACAGAACGTCCAGAATGAGCAATCATTATTCCTTCTACAGGCTTATAATCATCAAGGAATGAGTTGATTGTAGTTTCCCAGTACACAGCATCACCCCCATTGTTCTGAATTCGTGTTAAATGAGAGTCTTCCAAGTGAACAAGAAGGCCGGTTTTCTGACTGAAGTAGCCAAACAAAACATGTCTTATGATCTCTGCCGGTCCTTCACTCCTGGCCTTCAGTGTAGCAGGATCCGCACAAAGCTTGAGGATGAAGCAATCTTCTTCATTGACTTTTTTCTCCCCTATGCATCTTGCATTGGCAAACATGCTAGCAGTGGTCCTTGGATCAAGACCCTGCACAGTGAGTGGTGTTTGACTCATAAAGTGAAAGGTTGATTCAAACAGTTGATGATCAAATTGAGAGAAAACGAAAACAGTGGACAAAATTATGAGAGGAGGCCTCACCTGAAGTGCTCGGCGCAATGGTCTAACAGGACCTTTAGCAGCATGTGCACCCAGCCAGGGTGTATGCCTCCACACAAGCTTCCCATTGCAGCCAGCATGAACCTTGCTGCCACCAAGTGCAAGCTCCACATACCACATATCTGGATTCATTTGCCAGAGAACAAACCCGCCTGACTCCGAGGCCTTGGATGAATTTTTGCTCCTTGTGACTTTGTTAGCTGTCTCGAACTCAGAAGCCATCATCCTAACCCTACCCATGGCATATGCATTGTGGATGGAGTTTTGAAGCTTCTGTCCACCCGAGGCTGCTGTATATTGCTGCAATATATACTGCGCGGATGATGTTTCCTGCAATATAAGAAACAACCGTATTTATATAATTCTTTTTTTGATTGAAAATGAGACCCTCAAATGTAATGATCAGATTCATCGTTTCAGTGTGCTATACAATACCAGAGATTTTAATTTCTGCCGTCTTTTTTATTTAGAGAAAAACATCTGGGCTTCTCATGATGAATGAGCAGTATTACTTGATCA